CAAGACGCGCGGGGCCTGGGAGCCCAGCCCCGACGGAGGCTTGCGCAGACTCGCCTCTGGTTTCTTTACCCTGCTCTGGTCTCGGCCTCACGGGGCGTCTGCGCACTTGGGGCTGGTGAAGGTCTCGGCCTCACGGGGCATCTGAGCACTTAGGGCTGGTGAAGGTTGACTCTTGCAAGGCTACGTGCTTGTGAAATTTCTAGAAATAAGGGAGATCTTAGAGCAGACGCACTCCAGGAGACGAACATCTGAAACGCTGAAAGGAAGCTTCGAGCACCCATGGACCCGGCCCGCGGGTGTGCAGCTTGGACCAGCCTGGCCTTTGCTGGCGTGGCCGTGACGCTCCGCGCCTGAGAGCCACACTTTCTCGAATGTGGGATGGCTGTTCCTCCTCCTGTCTGGTCTGCTGGACCCCAGACGCGCCCTGCACTGTGCAGGGTGGTGCACTCGCTCTCCTGGCTCACCGCTGGGGCTGGGCCAATGCTGACGGCCCGCTCACGTGCCCGCCGCCTGTGCAGTGCTAATAAACAGTCTCTGCTCGTCTGGACCTCGCACCTCTGTTGCGGACGGGAGCGAGCGTGAAGGGTGCATGTGTGGGTCATGTGTCGTTGGCAGTTTGTGACGAGGTTAGGGAAGGGGTTCGGTCTCAGAGCGGACCGCTGCCAGCCTGTGGTGACGTCTGGGAGAGGTTAGGCATCTCAACGTCAGGTGAATACTGACGGGCCGTGTTTGCGGTTCCCACGTCTCAGTGGTCCCAGACGCAGCAGCGCAGGCTGGAGAGGGGACCCCGACCTGGGCAGGGGAGGTGGCCTTGGCAGGCGCGCTGAGGTGTGTGCTGTCATACGAGCACAGAGCATCTTCAGGTAGCTGTGTTGGGTCAGGCCGTGTCTCCTGGAAGGGACTGGCCTCCGAGGCTCTGGACCGGACATGGGGGCTGCACCAAGCCAGCAGGCCAGAGTTCCCGAGGGCAGCCAGGGCGCCACGGTGCTTGGTACGGCCACACGTGCTGGGAGACTGGTGTGGCAGCCTTGGGGGGGGCGCCCCCCCCCCC